AAAACAAAGGCCGAGTTAAAAAAAGTAAATCTGCTTTCAAACAATACACAGCCGCGCGTTAGAGACAACTTTTTACAGCAGCTGGTTATGTTTTCCTTTGTCCTTCTAATCCTTTAAGTCTGTCAGGTCTTCACGTTCGTTTTCAGTGAAAAACTGATTTAATGGCGCCAGAGCTCCCACATACTAGAGCAACTTTGTGCATCTACTGCCTCTGAAACCTGCCATCGGTTTCACAGCGGACTCTGGATCCTTTCAGTCCCTTCAGAATGCTCTGCCAGCCAGCGTCATGGGAGAGAACGCAGCAGACTTGAGGCATGAAGCAGGGGATCACTGCAGAGAGGAGAGCAGCCATCCCTCTCTTTGATGCGACTAATCGTCATGACTTCAGCCAGTACGGCAAAATTAGCCTCGTGTGAACTCTCTCCGTCAGCCCTGGACGAAGCAGAGCTCTTGAAAATAACACTGCGGAGCACAACGCGGCAAATCGTTGTGAAGTTCGGGGGGGGCAAGGCTAACCACTGGTAATCACAGCTCAGCAGATCAACGAGGAGGAACAAAGATGCGTGCAAGAGTGTCAAAGAGCGTGCAGGCAGCAAAGAACTCTTAGTGCTACAAAGCGCAGTGCTCGTTCTGTGTGGAGCTCCAGACCATCTCCTGGGCGCTACGCGGGAATCACACCAAGGGCGGGTGGCAGGACGCGCCCCTTTCGACAAGAGCCCGGCCGTCGGAAGGACCAGGAGGCTGCGGTTCGGCGCCCGCACTGCCGGTTCACCGGTGCCTCCGTTCCAGCGCGTGCTGGGTCAGATTTCCACTACAGCTCAGACCGTCCCGTGCACAGAACCAGGCGGTAACGTGTCCCACGGGCCCAATGATCAAGGCAAAAACACGGCATCTGCGATCCCGTCAGGAGGAAGGAAGGCGGAGTGGGCAGGAATCGCTCTGGAAACGGCAGGGAAGGCAGGACCGCTGCCCCTTCCAGGATGACGCACTCCGGACGACTTCCTCCGCGTGATGATCAGATCACTTTATTGGCCATATGCAATTTCTTGTATTAATATTTTGTCCTTTCACTCTCCATGAGACACGCAGACAGGGAGAGAAGCTTGGGGTCAGAGTGCAGGGTCAGCCATTTATACGGCACCCCTGGAGAACTTGGGGTGAAGGGCCTTGCTCAGGGGCCCAACGGAGTAGGATTCCTCTGCCGGCTGTGCGGGATATGAACCGGCAACCTTCCAGCCACAGACGCAGATCCTTAGCCCCAGAGCCACTGCGCGCAGGAGCAGGAGCGGTTCTGGGGCTCCGAAGGCCAACGACAGGCCAGGCCTGCTATGTGTTCCTGTTCTTCATCTTGAACCCACAAAAAAGGAAGAGTCTGGATCGACCGACACCACGCCCTGAGTAACACGCCGCTCTGTCCTCTGCAGGAGCTCCAAGGCCCCCTTATCCGAAACAGGAGTCGGCTCAGGGGGATATCTGGCATAATCGCAGCAGCACAGGGGTACAGTGCATGCACAGCAAGGCACTTCCGAAAGAAGCAGTTCAAGTAGGGAGCTGCGTCAGCATGCATGGGGTGCAAAGGAACAAGGAAAAGGTTTATGCTGAAAAGAGAAGAAAGGAAACACAATGTGGGACCTTCGTCGGGTGTGATCGCTGCATAGAGGAGATCACACCCGAAGAAGGCTCCACAGCCAAAACGTTGCGTTTCCTTTCTTCTCTTTACAGCATGGAATAATCCTATTACTCGCTCGCTTCCGAAAGAATGTGTTCATCAGAACAGAGGAAAGAGGAGCCATTCAGCTCATCTGGCCTGTCTGGAAGCAAGTAGTTAATTGATCACAGGACGCTTCTGTGGAACGTGGGGACAGTTTTCTGCTCTCATTCAAATCCACTGTTTTGAAGCACTTTCTGGGGTTTTTGTTTCAAACTGTTTTTCACGAGGTCCAGCTTTACTTGAGGGGCCCCAAGCTCAGCTCTGGTTTTTGCTAATCAAGTGCATAACTATGGTAACTCGGACCAGGCACTGAGACGCTTTCTCAGTGTCGCTAATAAAGTGAACACTTGGGAGCAATCAACTGTGAACGAATGGAGGAAACATCCTCCTTGCATCTAAACTGAGAAAGGAATGAGGTTAATTGCTTAATTGACCGCTCTGGTCTGCATAAACACCAAAGGACACAGGAGCCCTGAAGGAACCGATTCGGAAAACCCAGCTTTCTATCCTTAATAAAACATTCTTTCAATACAGAAATCCCCTCAGACACCACAGTCATAAATTCTGAAACAAAATCTATTTTTGTGTCGACTGCCCCTTTTCAGAAACCCCTGCCATCACTTCGATGGGAGAGGCAGGGAGCTCACTCAGAATCTACAGTAAGAGAATAAGGGGTGTGTGCCCTGTATACACAGCACCCCACAGTTTGAGAGACACCTCCTGTGTGAAGAATGCTTGTTGGAGAAACAATTATTGATCAAGGTGGACAGTTTATTGATATATATATATAAAAGGGTTCACAGAAAGAACACCGGCTGTTTCATTTTCCATTATTCACGTTACCTTTACTTGACACGACAGGTCAACATTGTTAAGCCATAACCCACCACAAATAATGTGAAGTTTAGGATTTCTTACCACAAATGTATGTACAATAAGAAAACAAAGTTAGCGGCACCTCATATTTACTACGTCGCAAAGCTGTAAAACGATGGCTTCCAAAGCAAAACGCTACAAAAAATGGAAAACGCAGACTCATTGTTCAGGTTGAACTCTTGTCATTCCACTCCGACTGATAAACACCGTGAGTCCTACAGCTGCCTCGTCCTGAAGCCTGCACTGGCAGACCCCGGAGCAGCGGGTTACCCGACTGTAATACAGCACTTCCGCCCGCCCGGTGAGCCCCTTCATCGCCGCTGAGCTCGGACGTGCCGGGTCTGCCCGCGGACTGTCAAAACAGGGGGCAACGCCGGGATATTTCGGGGGGCGCAGGGGTCATGCCGCTTATACACACAGGAAGGGCACTACGGTGTAATAGGAGGCAACACCCCCGGTCAGGGGGCTCCAACTACAGCAGCTCAGGGGCACCGGACTCTAACGTGAGAGCCCCCCGCTCCCCGCTACAAATCGGCGGGCGAACACCCTGCCGCCCCGGACAGAGAGCCGGCTGCGACCTGGCGTGAACGCCTGTGTTGTGTCTGCTCGCCCCGTCCCATGTGATTCAGCTGGTGGGTGGGACAGTCTGACCCAGGCCGGCCTAAAAAAAAAAAAGAAAAAGAAGTCCGGGGGGGGGTAAACCCCCAGGCAAGGCTGGCAGTCTGCGGGCTCGGCCGGGACCGGACCAGCGGAGAGGAGAGGACGCGTCAGCCGCGGCTCCCGCGCATCGGCCTCTCGCGCCGAGCGAGACGGCTGCCCCGAGCGCACGCCAGGCGGAAGGCACGCGATCGCACGAGAGCTCGCAGTCCGGCGCGCGCGCGGCTCGGGCTCGGGCTCGGGCTCGGGCTCATGGGGGATCCGTCCTCACCTCTCCTCTACAGCGAGCTTCTCATTCCTGCGCCCGTGCAGGCCGGCCTCTCCCTCTCCCTCCTGCCTCTTCTGCTCCGTCTTTTGTCCTCTGCTTCGCCCCTCTCTCTCCCACTCGCACTCGTGGCTCTTCAGTCAGACGAGCGAGTCCCCCCCGATCGCCCTTCTCTCTCTCCCCATTTCCAGCAGCCTTCTCTCGCCGCCTGCCTCTCTCGCTCTCCCCGGCTCCTCCTCCTATTCGCCGACCGCCGCGGACGCTCCTCCTGCCGGGGTCACCACGGAGAGACGCGCCGCCGGCGGCCGGTCTCGCAGCGCCCCCCAGCGCCGGGATCGCTCGCCTGCAGTGACGCAGCGCGTCTAGTGAGCGAGGGCCCCCCTCTCACGCCCAGGGATTCATTGACTGGCTCGGCGGCGGCGGCTGGCAGACTCTGTGGCCCGAGTACACCCCCCTCCCCCCGCCGCGAGTCTGGTGAACACGCTGCAGCAGGAGGAAAAAATAATTCATTCAAGCGGAGTGATTAAAAAGCTGGGGCAACAGGCGCCAAGACCGTGTTGTTTTTTTTTTTTAACCCAATAACACCGTGCCCCAGCCAGCCCCAGCCCCCTCGTCCCTCCCCGAGTCCCGTCTCCACACAAGACTTCATTCCGTGACTGAAGCGCACCTGCGGCTGTGTGTACCCGAGGGGCGCTCCACGGCCTGCTTTGATTCAAACATGGCGAAGTGCTATTTCACACTGCGAGGGAGCCCTTCGTTTAACGTGGCTGGGGGAACAAGGGTGAACGTCAATCCACGCCGCGCCACCTGTGCACCAGGGACCCGAGCGGCTTTTCCTCTGAACGTCGCGCTTCGAGGCACGACCCCGCACAGAAACTACCGCCTCTCTGCGGGGAAGGAGCGACGCTCCTGAAGCGAGGTTTCGTGTGTCCCCCGATATCAATGCCCAGCTCACGTCACAACCTCAACACGCGTGACGAGGAGGCTTAACCTGACGGATTCAGAGCAAGATTTGTGCTGCAACAGAATTACCGTAAATATCGGTGTATTATACAATTGAATTTGAATTAATACGGCGCTACCGTTTCATCGGACACTTAATCGCGCTAGCCTTTTTCGTGGGATTCAGAACCCACACGAGAACGCAGGACGATTAACCATCCATATTTTTTCATTATGAAAAAATCCGTATTTTAGTCGCGCGTATTCATCTCGAAGGAAAGTGGATAGGATTAAATAGTAATCACGAAGTACAAAGATAAGAGTTCCTATGTTCAAAACGTTTAACTTTGTCGTTTTATAAAAACCCAGGAATAATTACTAATATAACCACCGCCCGTATAGATCAAAAACGTTTCTTAATGGCTTAGATGAAAAACCACAGCACACCACCACCAACAATAACACTATATAATAATTGCTACTTCGATGCAGTGCCTATCGGGGACATCTGGAAATAGAGGCGGTACAAAGCGTGTGTTTCAGCCTTGCCTGGCAACAAGCTCCCAGCGGCGGATATCGGCCCTGCGGGTACCTGCAGAGCTCCGGGTCCCGCTGAACTCGCGCGAAACACGTGGGGTGCACCCCAAGTGCGTCTCGACTCTCACGACTTTCTTCAGCGCCAGTCCCCTCCGGAGCCGCGACCTCCAAGAGCTCCGTGTTTTGTAGAATTCGGCATCGATGCGGGAGTTTGTGAACGCTTTGTGCCACTTCCAGACATTTGTTCGTCGACATTGCTAGTTAGGCAAGCTAGTTGCGTAATTTTTCAGTCCTTTTTTTGGCTTTCAGATATATTTCCAAAACTATCTAAAGTAAAATAACACTTTGCTGAAATCCGTGAACTGAATAACATGCATTAAATACTTCACTACATATATATTTAAAACAGTTGTATGTTCTTTTTAGATGAAGATTGAAACGTAATTACCGCGCCATCGTAGGGATGCATTTTAAACATGAAACTTTGTTTCTCTCAGCTAAACGTGGTGTTTGGCCATTGCGCCATCTTGTGTTGTAGATGTTGAATTTCACGAATCCATTTCCTCACCATCTGTTGTTCATCTCAGGGGCACGTATCTCGTGCTGCAGCTCAGTTTAGCTTAGGGTCTGTCAGCCTTGGTACTTTTAGCCCACTGCGAGTCTTTACTCCAGAGAGTCTTCGATTGGCGAAGTCTTTTCAGCGCCCCAGTCTTGACATGGAAAGAAAGCCCTCAGGCTATTTCTTATATTCTAGACTGAAGAAACACCCGCATCTCTTTCCTTGCAGACGTCGCCTCAGGAGTGTCCGAGTGGGCCCAGTGTCTTCTTGATTCTAGTGGATCCCAGTGTTTTGAGATCTACTTTTTTATTCCAGTGGATCTGTGTTTTGAGATCCACTTTTGGATTCCAGTGGATCTCAGTGTTTTGAGATC